CCAAGTTATAACCCAGTGGCCCAAATGTGCTGTCAGTCAGAAAGAGTAGTTTTTCCCTAGGATCTCCCCATGCTTGTTCACTCTTCATATCCAACAGAACGTTAACTTTGATGAGCCACCTTTACTGCTCCATCTTAGACATGACCTAAGATTTACCACCCAAACCAGAACATCCGTGTGAGTGCCTAAGGACACTATTGGCAGTTACCTTGGTGCAAAAGTGTTAATAAGCCAGAGCCAGCCAGGAAGTGTGTTTCCATTACCACTACCTCATATTCTTCAGAAAAACCATGTTTACAAATGTTCAGTAAGTAACAAACTTTATCTACTCCTCCAGAGTGGACTTCGAGGAATCCCAGTCTTTTAGGAGGTAGCCATCACTCTTGCCTCCTTTGATTAAAGCTTATGCTGGTATAACTAGAACAGAGCCATTTCCAGCCCCACTCTCTGCTACAGCTGCCCAACAAACACAACCAGGAAGAGGGGTCAAAGAAAATGGACCTCACTTTTCTTGCAAAAATGTCACCTCCATTTAGGTCTTGTGTTAATTTTCCTTCACAAGTTAGTGTTTCGTGCATGAATCTCGTGTTCTATAGAAGAAGCAATAAATTCCCATCTTGACCACTTTGTGTGTGTGCCACACACATACACCCACACACAGCCACACACACCCACACATACACAAACATATAGACCCACACTCTTTAACTTCTCATGAACAGAAAGCTGAAAACTAGAACCATGAGTGAAATTAGTTTGCTGGTTTGATCAAAAGGATAGTCACAAATACCAGGCAACCATTGTGTTTACTGCTTTTGCTTTGTCTTTAGGGACTTTGAGAAGCATCACGCTGAAAGCCAATAAATAGGATTTCCTGCAACTTAGTGCAGTGGGTTAGAAACAGATTATGGAGTCGAGGTGTGGGTAGACACCTCTCTCTTGAGGAGTTCATGAAATTTAATCTCTGTTTAACCACATTGCCCTTACCCACTCCAATGGGCTGATTAATTTTCCTGGTGCCAAGTCAAACATACAGACCTGCCTAGAGGGTAGCAGATGGCAACTGTTGACAATGTGCAGTAGAATGAAGGACTCTCCTACTTTCCTTTCTGTCAGCCCCTCCTTTATCATCTCGGGAATGCAGGATGATCCAAAAGCAAATTCGGTTATTTTCCATTATATTTCTTTGATATTTTTCCCCACTAACTCTGGACTGGCTCTGAGTACACATATATCAAAAATGAAAACCAAAAGAAAATTGTGTAATGCCCTCTCAATACAATGAGGTTGGGGAAAAAGAGTTTAATAGTTTAATAGTTACTGAATGTATATGAGTATTGGTTCATTTTAATCCCATTCTTCCTGGAAAACCAATGCAGCTTGCAGATATTCAGTCTTCTTTTACCAGTTAAGAAGTAGATATAAAACATGGGCCATGCTGTGCTCCCCATTTTCTACCAAACCCCTAAATCTTCCACAGTGGGATACAATTTGAGACTTAAAAGCTACTCCCTCCACCCCAATATATCATAATCCAATATAGTTAGAAGAAATTTAAAAAAATACTCCAATGAAAACATTTATTTTAATATTTATTCTGGGAAAATTTAATGTAATGTCTAAAGGGCAGAAACATAAGCTATTTTAGTATTAATTATGAGTAATTATTAAGCAGTGATGAAACAAAAAAAATGTTTAAAGACTGAAGGAATGTCCAAGTTTAATTCAGATCAACAAGATAGAATTCTTAAAAAGCATCAATCATTCCTTCAATAACTATTACTTTACTATGTCTGTCACCATAGAATACTCTAGAAAGCTATCAAGTCAAGCATGCCAAGGATGGTGTTCTCAGTGATCTCAGTCAAAGATGGGATGAGACAAAGTCAGCAGAATCCAGTGCGTGCAAAGCACCACCGCCCTACAGCTTACCTATAGGGTGTCTGCCAGGGCTATTAAGTGATTCTATGGTTTTACCTTGTTTAAAACTGTCTGGCACAGTCTTAACATATAGTAATTACTGTATAAATAATTATTATGTAATAAATTATTAATATATGTGTCATAAGACAGGCTCAAGCAAACATGGCATGTAAATGTTGGAAGGCTGAAAAAAATCTAAGGCTATTTCATTAAGAAGGGGTGATGGAATGGGAAAATGGACAACAGAACTTATTAAAGATATTAAACAGGAAAAAAATAAACACTGTTAGCCCAGGCATGGACTTCAGATAAATTCACAAAGTAGTGAGTAGGTACAGATGACAAGTCCATAGGGTAGAAAATGGGGCTTTAATAATGATGAGCTAGGTAGTAACAGGATGCACAAAATGCTTTTGTAATATTTGTTAATATAATGTTTGGGAATAGTTCCGGAAGAATTTTTTTTTATTAAAGAAACATTGGTTTGCATCATTGTGTTTTAGAAGTATAAAATCCCCCCCTTTAATAAATAAAGTAATAAACCAATTTTACCAATGTTATGCACTATATTTAGCAAGGATTAATATTTCTGCTATGCTAGTCTTAAAAGAGATTCCTTATAACAGAAAGAATATTTGAAAATGATGTAGTTTTTAAAATTTAAATTGCCATTCTTAGTCTAAGCTGTTGGTAAAAGATTTGGCAGTCTGGTTAGCCAACATTTACCCTCTTCTTTTTAATTCCTTTCCATATCATGTTTATAAAGAAATGCCTGGTTGAGAGTAAAGGGTCTACTCTGTTTTCTTCTCTTAAACATGGAATTCTCTATATTCTGTCTCCAGCTTAGACTTTCTTTGCCAGTGTTTGGAAGCTGATTGAGGGCAGAGTCTTATTATATCCATCCTTGAAGTCCCAGACCTAGCACAGCACTGTATAATAAATCCATATGAACTCTGACTTAGCTGAACTCAATTTGATTGGGTATGGTTGGTTTGGATTGGATCAAAGTGAATAAAAAGTGAAACATTTTTCCTTATCATTTTTAAAATAATTTCTTATTTGAGTATAAAGTGAAAAATACGTAGAATGACACTCATTATAGATTTCAAATGGTCCTTCTCTATCAGCAATTTTTACAAACTGCATTGGATATAGAATACTATTAATAGCCTATATCCAAGCAGATAGACCTGATTAGAAAACTGAAAATGATTTCAACCTGGCAGGCTGAAAAATTCTAATGAATAAATTCCATCAAAAGGTATGGCCAAAGGTAACACTAATTGAAAATGAAAAGCTTTAAATAAACCCTGTTTAAAAATAGCTCATATATATATATTGTTAAAAACTTTTTATATCACAGATTTAGAGATAAAGAAAAAATTAAAAGTCTAGAAGAAATATCTGAGACTTTCTGTGTAATTATTTCACTTTAAAAGGCAGGGAAAAAAATCTAACTTATCATACACCAAATAAACGCAGCAACTAGATGAGTGCATTTGTATATTTGCATCAAAGAAGAAGGTCCTTGAAGTGTAAATGACTCCATTTTAATTGTCAAGCAGCTATTTCTACAGAATTAACAAAAGTACTACCATAGGACAGTCTTGTGAGAGAGGCCATTGCTACAAACTCTTTATTTTTGAACCAGTGCTGCTTAAATCTACCCACTTTAAACAAAAGTTCTACTAATTTCTTAGAAATTAACAGCAGCCTGACCTAAGAAAGCTCAGGAGATAGCACCAGAAGATAAGGCTATCCAAGTGGAATTGCTGAAAGTCAAACAAAAGATAAAGGCACAGAAAGATGAAGAGAAAGCAGCATATGCAAAAATGTTTGCTTAATAAGGAATTCAGTTTGCCTGAATACATACATTGATTGTATAAAGTCAGTAAGAAAACTTAAGGAATGTTATCTATTATACATGATCCCTAATGTATTGACACTTCAGTTCTCCATCATTTACACTTCAAGAATACTGGTAAGGGTTCACTCTTAATAAAACAGTGCTATAAAATGCAAAAAAAAAAAAAAAAGAAAGAAAGAAATTAACAGCAGCCTATAGACATGTAACTTTATTCATCCATCTATTGCTTATAAAATAACTGTAATTTAGAAGGTAGAAAAGAAGAAACTTTATTTTATATCATTCCAGCAGCACCTAAATATTTAAGGAAGTCTTCTCCCTAAAATGATAATCATCTGAAAACAAAATATAACCAGGCTATTTATATCTGAAGAAATTTCCTAAGACATTGTCAGACTTGCCGTTTAGCAGTGTCTAGAATATTTGTGGCTATACTCATTGATTGACAAACAGTTTTGCTTTATGAGCTAGCTCATACTCAGCAAAAGTGTCTTCTATCTGGACTGATTCTCTTACTGGTTTTTGCTTTCTCTCTGGTTGAATGTAGCTAAAGCGTAGTTCATTGAGTTCTTGTAATGCTCAAAGCAGTGGGGAAAAAGAAAACAACAGTGAAGTCTTCTTGACTTACAAAAACATTTGAGACTGAGAGGTTGAGGATTCTTTTTTCAAATCTAAAACAAGCAAAAGAAGCAGTCAGACATAACAGGGGTATACCAGTTGATTTCATGTATGTTAATCACAGGCATGACCCCCTATGGTGCTCTCCATAGTCATCACGCTTGGAGTAAGGCCTTTGGGTGCTGGGAGATAGTGTGTTTGTAGACAGAGCTGCTGGCTGCATGAATAAGTTCAATTTGTAAATATTCATTTACTATTCCTTTATCCTCTCGGTAAGCACTATACCTCAATTAAAAGTCCAAAATAAACTAAAACAATAGAAATGTAAAATATTTGAATTTCCTTTTGTTGATTCCAGTAGCATTTTCTTGAACTATCAGGCACCCAGTATTCACACGTCACAATGGCTGCATGGCCTCAGCCCTAAGACAACCTGGCAGCAGAACCAGCACTTTGGATCCTCTGCTTCCATGTCTTGGGTGGCTTTAGTATCCTATCACAAGCTGCGCTCACCTCTGAGGCCCACATGCGGCCTGCCGGAGGGACGCCTGTGAGCCCTTTCTGCTGACTAACTCCATTTGCCATGTTCCAGGGGAGTTGTGTGAGGAGAAGCTGGACTTCTGTGCCCAGGACCTGAACCCCTGCCAGCACGACTCCAAGTGCATCCTGACACCAAAGGGCTTCAAGTAAGTCAGAGTCCCCCGGGGACTCACAGTGTGGGAATGGGCCTCTCCTTTAAAAACACCTTGTCTCCACCTTCCTCTCCAGACCTGTCTTCACATCCTTGCTCAGGAAGACAGGAACAGACTGTCTGTGGTCATTTTATGAATGTTCACATACAGCACGGGCCTTTGAGTGGTACACTGAGAAGAATAAAAGGGGGTGTCTCCTTTTGCTCCATTTATGACGTAAAGTAGCCCCTGACTTTGTTACTCAAATTTATTTGAAAGCCAAACAAATGTGTCCTAGTTGCTAGGTGCTTTTATTATCTGCAGCTAAGTCCAAGTCAAAATAGGGAATCTAAGTGAATAAAACTAAGAACGTGATGCCCTATTGCAGGACGTTAGCCAAGGCAAGGTGGACCGAGTGGCCCTATAGTCATGTCCCCGGGCCCGGGACCTGTCAAGGTTTATGTGTCTGTGGCCTCCGTGTGATTATTAGTAGTGCCCCTTGATTGTCTTGTTTGGAATGAGAAAGCATCACTTCGGTTGGGGGCTCCCTCCAGGGAACTCAGACCTTCGAAATCATTTCTTTTTCCTCTGCAGCCATCTTCCTGAGATGCGCTTGGCATCCTATTCCATAACTTTTTTGCTGCCATCCTGAGGTTTGTTGGGGGTCTGCCAACAGCAACTTCTGAGAGTTGGCAGTAGTTTAGGGCCCTCTGTTTCAAAGTCTTCATCATAAGCATCAGGAAACCCGGGCCCAGAGAGGTCGAACGTGGGTCCAGAGACCTCCAGGTTGGAGGAGCTGGAGTTGGAACTGCATGGAGCTGGAGCTGCGTTTTGCACTTCCCAGTTGGGTGATTTTCAGATGCAGGCCACCTCTAGGACTTTTTGTCATTTCTTAACATTAGTTGATTTCTTATATTGATGCAAGCTCAAGAATGACATGTGCAGGTTCAGGGCTTGGCTGTGTTTGCATGAAACCAATAGCAAGTAGCATTATTTGTTCCTTTGCCTCCTATTTGTCATGTACCTGTCCTGGGCCGGGGCCGGTGGTGATCCTATTCCCACACTGTAGGGGCAGGAAGGCACAGGGCAGGATCTCTGTGATCTAGGCAGACGGGTAAAGGGGAGTCCTGGAACCCTTGGTCGATTTTTCAGGCTATTATTGAGGTTTTTACACCATTTGTAGTGTGGCACCCAGGTGCACAGCAAGCAGAGGGCCAGGAGTTGGTGAATCTTCACTCTTTCTGGGCGCTCTAGCGTTCTCTCATGGGCTCTGTTCTCCTCTGCTGCTTCTACTGGTTCTGCTCTTATTCTTGTTCTGCTGGCGGACATCCCTGGGACACCGCCCTTATAAGCCCAGTCTCTCAGTCCAGGTGCACCCGCTTATGCATGCCCACACCCTACTCCAGGTGCCCACCATCCAGCATGCATGTAGGACCACAGAGATATATCATTAATGGTAATGGCAGGAAGGCAGAAAATCCTGATAATTTTTGCTTACCCTACACTCATGCTTCTGTAGTGTTTTGTAGCTACTCGCTTTCACATATTTCATCTTCTCAATGATATGATGCCAATTTAGCCCCATAACATTCAGAGAATTAAAAATTACTCTGGTCAGGAAGGGAGGCAGGGCCAGTATCATGTCCCCACTGCCTTTCAAATACGAATCTGAATGAAATGCTTATCCTCAAGTTTTCTTTAGAGAAATTTTAAAATTTGATTTGGTTTAAAATTCATCATTTGAGAGTATACAGACACACTGGTATTATAGGCTTGGCGATCATACAAACTTGAAGGTATTCTTAGTCATCACCTGCTGATCCCACTTGATGCATCATTGAAAAGGAAAATAATTTTTGGTTCTATTTTTCATTCTATTTTAATTTACAACCCTGCACAGAAGTAGAAAAAAAATCCACAGTCATATTAAAAGTTTTATTTTATATAGCATTCTGCATTGCACTTGCTCCTCCTGTGTGTAAATTATTTCAAGTCCTAATGTGATTTGGCCACAATTGAATTTAGCAAACCGAAAGTGCATCACTTACATAACAAATATTTTCATTTCTCAGCGGAATTACCTTGAAGAGCAAGAACTGCTTATCTGCTGTTCAGGTTACACAGGGCTTACTGCATTGTAATTATAAGATAAAGTAGCAGTAAAACTTCATAGAAACCATTCTAAAATAAGGGAGTTCATCTTCCAGAAACCAGCCTAATTCAGTATCTTGCATTGCTGTCCATTAGAGTGCAAGCAATTAAATGTTGTTGCGTGGCGTTTCGGCTGATTTGGGAATTCATTGTTTTCGGCGATCATTTGTGAACTTCTTTTACAGCTGTGTGTAGTTCAGCAGAAAACAGGTTAAGTTGTTGTGTGTGCTGTTCCTCCCATTTTAGAAAGATTTGCAAGTTGATGGAAAGGAAGTCGCAAAAAGCAAATGGACATATAAACCAAAACTGTAGGAAGCTGCTCTTGACAAATGTTGCTTGAGCCAGTTGTACTGTTGCTTCAGCTTCATTTTCTTATTACTCACAGAGCTGGTTTGACTTCCCTTCCGTTACTATATTCCTCATAAATCTCCTAAATTGCTTCGAGATCTTTTTAAACCGTGATATGCGATAAACAGTATTTTCCAGCATGCATCTTACTTAGTCAGCTTTTGGGCTTCTAAACCATATGTTTTATACTCTTTGCTTTCTCTCCCACTCCTTGACCAGCAGTCGAGTTGAGGGAGTGTTATAGGTTTGTTGATCATACAAACTTTAAGGAATTCTTAAATATTTTCTTCCTGTTTGGAAACTCAGTCTGCAGAGCAAAAGAAAGACAAAGTGCTGGTCGTAATATGACTTCAAGTTCTAATGGACTTGAAAAAGCAGTCTTTGTCGAGAAGGAAATATGAAATAGCTCTCAGACGACGGCTGTCATGATTGTGTGCTCCTCTTATCTCGGCTTTGATTTCTTTTCTCAGATAAATAATTCAGTGTTTCAAACCACGTCTCCTTTCTTTTAATGCTCAGCACTTCCCAGCTCTGCGCATAGCAACATGGATGGAACAGCCCTTCCCAGGCCTTGTCTGTCCAGCTGATAGCATAGATGGCCGCTTAGGATCCATTTAACTCAGACTTGTTTGTATGGTTATGACTTGGCATTAAAACCACTTGCTGTGGAACAAACATGCATCTGCCATAAACTTCGCTTATTTCTTAATTTACACATGGAGCTGCTTGTTCCCCTTAAAAATAATGCACTCCCATTTATTTTATTGCATCTGCTCGCCAGTAGCTCTTAAATCCAGATTTTGCGTTTTCAGATAAAACCCTTCCCTTTCAGTAATGTCCATGTTCACCTGGGTGTCTTAGATGATCCCCACTCACTTAAATCCTAATGGCTTTGAAATTGGAAAGTGGATAATTAGTAAATACTAAACCAGGAAGATAATTGAGAAATATCTGTCATGTATTGATTATGCATTCTGTTAAACACTGTACATAGTGTTTTTATTTCATCTTTCAACCCAGGAGATGGAAATTATTATGTTCTTGTTACAGAGGAGGAAGCAAACAGGATTCATGTTCATCAGGATTATACACACTTGAGATGAACCCGGGATACACAGGCAGTTCTAACTGCAAAAGCCAAACTAGTTGTCTGATTTATTTCTTTTTTAAAGCCAGTGGACCTTTTCTTAAATCTAAAATAGAAACAATCATGGAAGCTCGGTGTGTAAAACTAATAAATCACAGCAGCAAAGTATTGGGGAGGCGGAGGGCAGAGGGAAGCTGCCTGAAGCCCCCTCCTGCTCTAAGGCTCTATCTACAGGGGTCCACAATCTCTTGTGGCTGCACAAAGCACAGTTTACAAACCACCACAGGCGCCACCCTGCTTGGCCTGGGGCATCATAACTGGAGAAGCCAGTGGTCAGCCCTGCAGAAGGACAGGTTTAAAAAGAAGCCCCGAGGAGCCCGCTCTCTGACAGCACCGTGCAGGAGTCAGATTCAGACTCTTGTCAGATGGGATTCAATCCCTGGGGGTAACTCTCACAAGCTAAGTGTCCTTGGGTGAAATTTGCAGCTATTTTGTCCCATAGTGTCCTCGCCCACAGAGTGGGGCTAAGGGGATCTCCAATGGCACAGGCTTTTGGGAGAGTCCATGAACCATATATGCAGTGTCTGGGACCAGGTTTGGTACATGGAAAATCAGCTGGATAGTCACCCCGAGTTCTTCCCTTTCAATGCCCCTGAGGTCCCCTCCTGCCCACACAGCACCAGACAGACAGACTGAAAAGCTACCTGGAAGTTCAGCCTCTGGAATTCTTTATCAGGTTCCCTACCCCACCTTGTAAGAGCTGCCCTGTTCTGCTGTATTGATTATCTGGATTCCTTGCGAGTTAGATGTTAACATATTTGTTGCCATGTTAAGATATTTATTTTTCATAAAATTCTGTTTTATGAAATGGAATCTCATAAAATTCTGTCATACTTTCTTTGAAAGTTTAAAAAAGTTATTTCCTACAAAAAAAAAAGCTTCACAATCTTCGTAAGTTTTATAACAGAGCATTGTTATCATCTCAGTGGCTCAAATGACATAGAGGAGAAAAGCATAAGCAACTAAACTGTAGGAGGAAAAAAAGGTGAGGAAGCAGGAAAAGAATGGAAGGAAGGAGAAAAGAAAGGGGTTAGAACAAACAGAAGAAGAAATAAAAGGAAAAAAGTGCAATTTTCTATTCTTATTTGGCTTATGGATACTCATATCATCTAAGGTAAACAGCAGTCCCTGGGGCGTCACCGTGAGAAGCCTGGACTACTTTCAGAGCAGGGCCGTTTTCTAGACACCATTCCGTGGGGGGCTCCCTGACCCTGCTCTAAATAGGTCCTTTAAAAGATGGTGCCACTTTGTTTCTAGATGATAAGCAGCCACTTTATTTATCCTTGTTAAGTTGGGTTTGGAACTTTACCTGCTTGCTCACACAGGTGTGACTGCACACCTGGATACATCGGCGAGCACTGCGACATTGATTTCGATGACTGCCAAGATAACAAGTGTAAAAACGGAGCCCACTGCACCGACGCTGTCAATGGCTACACGTGCACCTGCCCCGAGGGTTACAGGTGGGTGGAAGCACGTATCTGTATTTGGAGTTCGGTCTTTTTTAAAAATTTATTTTTATTTTTTACTTATCATATTATTGTTCATTTGTACAGTAATCAGTTACTCCCCTGAGGTGTTTCCCCCATAGTTCTCCCACCACAATGTCACCTATGACCCATCAGCATATTCCCTTATGCTCTTCTCTCCTCTGTTATGACACCCTTCCCTTGCTGGATGCCACAGATCTATGGTCAGCTTGCAAGTTTTGTTTTTTCTTGACCTTTCGTTTTGTTTCTCTATATTCCACATATAAGTGAAACCATCTGATATTTATATGTTTCCTTGTGGCTTATTTTGGCTAGAATAATAACTTCAGCTCCATCCATGTGGCCACAAATGGCATGGAGTTCTCTTTTTCATTGCTGTGTAGTATTCCACTGTGTATATGTACTAGACTACTGTCTCACACCATACACAAAAATCAACTCAAAATGGATAAAAGACTTGAATATAAGACCTGACACCATGTAATATATAAAAGAGAACATGAGCAAAAGACTCCAGGACATCAGCCTCAGAAATGTTTTTGAAGATTCATCTCCAGAAGCAAGGAAAACAAAGGCCAAGACAAATAGCTGGAACCACATCACACTAAAAGGCTCTGCACAGCAAAATGGAGCTAAGATCTTACATCACTCAACTCACAATAATCAGTGTATTTTTTCCTGTTTGTTCTTCAGTGGCCTGTTCTGTGAGTTCTCTCCGCCCATGGTCCTCCCTCGTACCAGCCCCTGTGATCATTTTGATTGTCAGAATGGAGCTCAGTGCATCATCCGGATAAATGAGCCAATATGCCAGTGTTTGCCTGGCTACCAGGGAGAGAAGTGTGAAAAATTGGTCAGTGTGAACTTTGTCAACAAAGAGTCTTATCTTCAAATCCCTTCAGCCAAAGTTCGGCCCCAAACCAATATCACCCTTCAGGTAAGGTTTCCCTCACTAGCAAGAACTGACCTGGTTTTATGCCAATTAAGCTTTGAAGTATAAGCAGCTCTGGTAGTTTGTAAGTGGTACTGTTTGTAAAATACACAGTGACAAGCCTTATAGCCCAATACAGAAAATACTACTGTGTGAAAAGCTTCAGATATTCTTCTAATATCTGTGTTTTTCAAAATTATAGGGGATGTAGGTATTTTTTTTTTCACTGCTTGGTGAAAAACACACACACAGCAACAAGATAGCTTTCTGCTTTGTGCTAACATAAAAGCACTTTATTCATTTATTTTTATGCTCTATGGTTCAGACTGTGCACAAGGGGAGGCCTTTCTTAGGAATCCTGCAGGGGAGAAGAGGACAGGTGAGACAGAACACACCTGGGCCACACATGCAGCCAGTGCCTTTTAGCTCATTTAAGAATTGGAATGAAATAAATAAACTCAAGCTTCATTGTATGTCCTCTGACTAAGTCACTGTGTACCGATATGCAGGCCATTCAGACCCTGAGGGAAGAGATTAGGCTAGATTGAGGGGACAGCTTTAGTGTACATGAGACAAATCGGGGCTGCATATTTATTTCACCTGGTGAAAAAGATATTTTAATATGTTTGGAATTCAAATGACTTCAGCCAACAGCCTGTAAACCCTTATTTGGTTTAACCTGACCCACCAGTGAGGCTGGGAATTCTTTAGAAATATGGGTAAGAGATCCCAGAAGACAGGCAAGTCTTCTCTCAAAAAGCCTGTCCCCTGACCTTGCAGCTTTTGCCACACTGGATTGTTTGGGGGAGTAACCAGTGGTAGCTGGCCTTAAGTCCTAACTTTTACTAACTGTCCTTCAAAAGCCCAAAAACATCAGAAATTTCCCTCTGTACATGCCACAATAATAAATTATTTGTTTTCTATATGGACTGAACATCAGTCTTCCTCAATGTAGTCAATTTTGCATGTGCCATCGATAAAATCGCTAACAGAAGCAAAAAGAGCAGGTAGCTGCATGTATCCAGCAAAGCCAGTCCTTTGCACACCCTGTGGGGTTACACCAATATTCTTTAGTGTTCTTTTCAAAGTTCCTTGTGAGTGTATTGCAGCAGCATAGCTTAGGAGCAGGTCACCTTTCCACTAATGACAACATGCATTAGTATTTTCCTGTGGCCATCAGATAAAAATAAACCAGTCAGAACTCTTCACTATGTGACTGTTCCTTTCTGATGAGTTATGTCCGGATGATGCTATGTCCTACTAATGTGAAGGACGCCTCCTCCTAGATCGCCACCGATGAGGACAGTGGGATCCTCCTGTACAAGGGGGACAAGGACCACATCGCTGTGGAGCTGTACCGGGGCCGCGTGCGCGCCAGCTACGACACCGGCTCCCACCCCGCGTCTGCCATTTACAGGTGAAGATCTCTCGGTTACTGGTAAAGGTGAAACAGTTGTTTCAGTGAAAGCTGCTTCTCTGCTGTGCTGGGATGGGGGGCAGGGAATGACTTGGCTGCAGCAGGATTTAGGATAAGTGTGCTTGTGAGGAGTCTGGCGGGACAAGATGGTGTACTCAAGGTGCTAATTTGAGGAAAGATTTATAAAGGGACTGTTCACAAGGATAGGTGTGGATGGTAGACTAGGCTGGAGCTGGTAATGGGGGGTACTCTTACTATGCATATGCTTGATGCAGTGAGGCAGGGAGCTGTTTAGAAATGCATGCTCAGGGAAGGAATTGTGGAGAGGACAGCCTGCAAGAGCTGTGACCTTGTGGAGGGCATTTTCAGTCCTCAGAAAGGACACTTGATTGTTTGTTGTTGTTGTTGTTTTAAGATATATTTATTTATGCATATAAGAACTGGGGTATAAGCCTGAGGTGTGGGGGGTGAGAGGATTCACCAGAGAGAGTGGGGAGCAGAACAGGCAGATCTACTGAAATACACTGCTGAGGGGAGCAGCAGGCAGAGAGGAGAGGTCTGCTGTGCCATGTGGGAAGCTCCCTGGCTAGGGATTGTACTCAAGCTGCAGTGGTTGGCTATAGCTTGATAGCACTGTCTTTAATCCCTTGCATCACCAGGGAGGCCCAGGACCCTTGGTTTTGAGTATCTGGCCTCACTCTCCCAACAATCTCCTGCCCAGCTTTGGACAGAACAGTTGTAGGAAACAAGGAATTTGCGGAGCTTGGTACTTAGCTGGCATGGGAACCTCCAGGGTGCAGAGCTGGGTGAATTGAGTGGAGCGCAGCTCTAAAAAAACAGCTACAAGCACCTAGACCAGTAATTTACAATTGCCACACATGTAACACATATTTATTGAAAGCTCACTGTTCTGAGCTTTCAAGAGCAAAGCCCTTGGAGTTACACATAACAAACTAACGGGTACATCCAATAGATAATCTCATTCATTTCTGAACTTTTCTAATAACACCATGGTAATAATGTTACGTGAAGGGCATGGAAGGGATGGTATTTATAAGGCCTACGTTTTCTATAAAAGTGCTTTCTGCATTAGGTGAAACTTCAGAGCCCCTTCTGGGGGAGCTCAGCAGCCATTCTCTCTTGTCTGCAGACAGGTCACCTCATTCATTCCTTCCCATGTAGAAATAATGACCCCCTTGTAGAGCAAGGTCACACAGTTAGACACAACTCTTTCCAGGCATGTAACTTAAAGGAACTAAGCAGACCAGCTGCAAGAAAATAATATGTTCTCATCGTGTGACTTTTGAAAAGCTCTAACCTTTGAGAGAAGCATCCCTCTATTACAAGTAGCCTGGATAGTGGCGAAAATAGGAGCTGCTGAAACTGACGAGAACACAAAGCAAATTTTTGTCAAAACAGGACCAATAGCCAATTCACTTCTACCAGGCGCTGGCTTGTGAATAGATCTGCCAGGTTTTGCCAGAAACTCCTAATATTTAAGGAAAGGCAGAAATCTGGACTTTTTAAATACAGAGTCTTTCATTTAAATATTGATATGCAATCATTTTTTTCCCAACCCCACCGAGTTGGGAAACAAAACACACCTGTCGACCAAACATACTTGGCAACAAATTTATGGCCACCGATCAGGATATAAAGCGGAAATACTGGCCTTTATAGTATTGATGTTATTATTTTTGATTGCAAATTCTATCCACATGCTTCAACAGCCTTCACTTCCTATTTGATCCTTCATAATAGTTACAGGAAAGTAGATGTTATTATAGCCTTGAATGGAATTTGATAAACCCTTTGCTGGTAAGCAAACCCACTTGGGGGTATTTAGAGCATGGTACCGAACATATAATTATTGGTTTCCAAGAGGAATACAATAGTTATTTCATCACCAAGTGGTGATGAATTAGTGCCAATTTTTTGGATATTGCTAGACCATGAATTATACAGCCTTAATTTGTTTCAGCTCATAAAAAGATTTCAGAGCATTTATTTTGTGGTTAATTTTTGTTATTGAATCTTTTGTTTTGTTTTATGAAGTGAAACATCATAGAACTCTCAGAAACCATAGCAAAGTTCCTGAGGTTAGCCTGGTGTTCGTGTAAAATGGAGCTAACATGTTTCCATAGAAGATGCAAAAACCCATGTGATCTTTTAAATGAGGACTTACTGTGAAGAGCTTATTATGAGCTGGAGTACAGTATCCTTTCCCCCTAACAAACAGCAGAGACATCCCCCTGTGACATCTATAAAAATGAACCAGAAGTCCACTTCCAGTGGAAATTTCTGCTTGCTGGTTATTTAATCTATTGTGAGGTCCAGAGGGAGTATAGCTTTCATTTAATTTTTGGTTTCAGTTTATGATCCAAGAGTCAAGAGAAAAAGGAATCACATTCTTTTTAAGTAAAAGAATAATAGCAATAATTAACTAGAATTAGGTAAAATAGTTGATTAATTGATCAGTTGATACAAATGCAACCTATACTATATTTTGTATCAATATTCCAATTTTGTGAAATAGAGACTACAGAGAGCAAATTACTTCAATACACTAGAAGAATCTACTATTTGACAAGTAGTAATATAGTGACTAAGATAGATGTTTAGATGTAGACGCAGCTAATTACTTGTATGTAATCTTAGGCAAGGTACTTAATCTTTCTGGTCTTAGAATCCATAGCTGTAAATAATACAGCACCTTCCCCCTAAGGCCCCTGTGAGAATTAATACTCAACTCAGCCCTGTCCTCACTCCTCATCCACATCATCTTCTTTCTCACCTGCCCTCTAGTGATGCAGGGGATTTCTCTGGTGTATCTTACTGGAGTTTAGCGGATTCGAAGTGTATCCTCGATCTTCACACTTTACCCCTGGACATATAGGCTATTTCATATTTCTGTGGAGGGCAGTTTGGAAGGAGCTCTCAAAATTACAAACACATTTACTCTGTGACCTATGGAGTTCATTCTGGGAATTTATCCTATAGATCCACCTGAAGACATAAAAACGCTGCGTGCACAGGTCATTCACCCTGAGACATTGGTTCTAAAAATAAAAGTTATGGGGAAAAAACTCAAATTTTATTGAAAAATAAACTTGGTGCTTTCACATAATGGATGTTACTATCACAAGAGAAAGGGAGAGGGAGAAAAAAGAGAAGAGCTGGAAGCAGGGGTGTAGGAGGGAGGGAATGAGGAAGAATCAATGCGTGACAAATGAACACTAAATGACGCTATTCTCATTTGCCTGATAAACTCTCAGCAGTTGTTGATATGCCAGTGGGAAGACACCCTTTCATCAGCTTATACTCTTGAACTTTACCTATTCTACTTAGTATCCTTATCTGAGCAGTTGAAATTACAGCTGTTTCTTATATATGATTAGGAGAGTTGGAGGTAATGTCAACACCTCACATTGGGCTCAGCACATAGTAGGCTCACAGAAATTCATAATTCTGGAGCTTTGAGGATACTCATTATGCTCAGTTTATCTCAATACTAAAGAATAAATACCCAAGTGTAGGGCCTCCCTAGTGGTGCAAGGGGTTAAGACGCAGCCTGTGAAGCTATCCGCAGCCTCTGCAGGATGAGTTCCATTCCTGGCCAGCAAGCAACCCACATGGCGCAGCAGACCTCCCCTGTTTCGCCCGCTGCTCCCCTCAGCAATGTACTTCCGTCGATCTGCCTTTTCTCTTCCCCGCTCTGTCTCTGGTGAATCCTTTCACCCCCCCACACACACACCGCTGACCTGTACCCCTGCTCTTATATGCATAAAAAATTATTAAAAAAAAATACCCAAGTGCAAATGTCACTGCTCTCAACACAGCTCAAAAATATAAGTGTCCTTCAGTTTTAGTGCAATATTATTTAACTAATTAGTTTCAAAAGCACTTATTAAAATTTAACTTTATTTGAAAAGCTATTTTATGAAATATCCTTTTCAAAACACTTATGCATATACAAAAATATCTTTAATTCCCCCTGGCTTCCTAGTCCATTGATGTAAAGAAGCTTACAGGGAAATATTTTAGGGCCATCCCTGCTTCATGAAGTATGACGTGACAAAGTATCTTCAGCCCAGAAATATCAAAATGAAATGATTCATTGACTCTGTGTGGCTTCTGAACCTACTCCATTGCGCAGAATATGCCAACTGATACTTCATATTTTTTAAGGCAAAAAACTGGAGCTCCCATCAGCAAAGGGACCTGTTTGTTAAACTGCTGAAATGATTTATGGTTGAGAGAAATACAACAATGGCATTAATGTGTCCTGAGATATAAAAAAATCAGAGACAATTTAGATTCCCTCTTGTCTTAAACCCTGAGTTTTATTTTTTTTTTTTCCTGTAGCAAACCACAGGACATAGTTGAGTCACCACTTTGTTTTAATTCATCCATTTAGAAATTCAAGAAAACAAAATGTCAGGTAATAGATGAGTGTAATAAAACCAAATTACATAATAACAGTAATAAATGCAATTTATGTGCCCAGTGGAAAGGCTCAAGGTTAACTGGCTCACTTGCAACTTTTGTGAGTCATCAAATGAACAGTTCTCTGGGGAGTAGCGAGAGGTTACCAATACTTATGGGATGTTACAAATTGCAAGTGGTGAAGAAGATAACTGTGATTGGCTGCAAAATAGATGATGGCTCAGTTTTAGCATGTAACAACTGGCTTGACAATCACCAGTTTACTTTGGACTATAAAAGTGATGCCTAATCATTGATAGCACATGCTCTGGAGCCTGACTTGAAGTCTGTTTAGTTGCTGGCTACGTGACCTTGGGTACCCTGTGCTCAACTCTTAGGATTGTTGCGAGTCTGAAAGAAGGTGCATGTATGCAGAGCTCTTAGAAGAGAACCAACCCATAATGGTGCTATGTATTTCTTTGGTCTTTGTATTTGCATTTCACTAATGAGGAAAAAGAAGCAGAGAAAAGTTACCTGAATGAAGTCACACTAGCCCAATACCACACATGTCATGAGAGCTAGGGCAAGCTGAGCAAAATTGATCTTCCGCCAGGTTATCACCACTGGAAATTCCAAAATTTGTAATTAAATGAAAATTCAAAAAGATATCCTGTCTTAGTTGTGATTGAGGCCTTTGGACTATCTGTAACTATAATATAGCTGGTATTGCTAAAAAAAAAAAAAAAAAATCTGTCATCCTTAATACCACTCCCTTATATTATCATATATTTATCAGGTGTCCACTATTTCACTATTTACCAGCCATTCCCTGATCCACCAAAGAATACACAAATCATACATGGCCCTTACTTAACATAGCTTACAATTCATAGGTGTTAAAGACATGCCCTCAAAAATAGATAATAGAAGAAAAAAGGAAAGAGTAATGGAGTTCATGATGAAACTACCTGTGACCACAGCTTCCCAGCTGAAACACTGCGTTAAAGTGAATGAACCTTTAAAGGTATTTAGCTATTCCATTGTACCATACCAAATACCAGTGCTGACAATGATATGCCTGGATTGATTGTCTAAGACCAGTGGGTATAGTGGGTAACCACGGGGACCCATTGCCCAGGACATGTGAGTCTTTGCAATTCTAAAAGAAAAAGGAGAGCCTCGTTATTGACAGTAATAATTTATTTAAGGTCACTGGTCTTACAATATTCTTATAAAACCATTTAGAGATTTGTGCATGGTCACCAAGGAAAACAAACTGACTACTCCCCTGTGTATGTCTAATCTTTATTTTCATGTTTAACTTAACTCCAACATACAGTAACTTGGGCAATATGTCCCAATGGAGTTATTGTATTTCTGCTAATCTTTAGGATTATCTTACAATTAGTAGTAAACATTGGGTTATTGACATGGTGACAATAGTAGTGGTGATGCTAATAACAACTAAATTTGCACTCTCTACATGTAGACACTTGGCGTTCTTAAAAGATCACTTCATATAGCCTCCAGACTAGCCACAGAAGGGAGAAATATTTATCAGTATTTATTCAAGGGACAAATGAAATCTATTAGCAATGAACTTATCTGAGGTCAAACATTTAATAAATGCAAGACTCAAATTCTAATCCATGTTTATCTGACTGTAAAATCTGCCTACTTAACTGCTAGTGGATGTTCCTACTCAGCTCCCCCATGGACAACAGCATCATGAAGACAGTGATGATGTGCAAGATTTTCTAGAAAGTGATTTCCATATGTATTGTTTCTTCTGTTGATTTTAGATGAATGAAGTGTTGAGGGAATTAAATGTGTAGATGATGTGGCTGACATTCCATATTGATGGACACAGCTGACTTATCTAACATTTGTTTTTTAAAAGATGATATCTGAGATAGACTCAAAGATAGAGACCCTCCCACCACTTAAGTTAACTTCAGATATTTTCACATTTGGAATTTCATGTTGCAGATTGGTTTATATTGTTGTCAAATCACAAACATTTTCTATTTCAGGCAACAGTGAATCTGGTTAGATTTCTGTGGTGAGAATTATGCTAAAATACCAGTACATATTTCTGTACTTTTCCAAGTTTGACCTATTTGTGAGTTTAAATATCAATGTCTGGAAAGTGAAGTAGTTGTCTAATATAGGGAATATGAGGCATTCACATCTGTTTATCATATGGTCCCATTATTTCTATTATTGAGGCTTTTTTGAAATATTTCCAAGTGATACCCCAAGCAGTAGCTATTTTAATATTCACTGCCTACTTTTGACCCAAACTCCCATTATTACCATATTTTGCTTCAAGATGAAAGGTAAGTAGATTCCTAGGTATTGATTGCTTTTTTGCTAATTCTTTAACACTGGCCCTGTTTTCATCTCTGCTGCTGTAACATGCCTGTTAGACTTAACGACCCACTTTAACATTATTATGTAGGTTTACTTAGTAGCTGCACCCAACTTCAGCTTATTTTCAATCCTCATTTTCCATTTGTCTCAGTTTCTTAATCCTTTGGTTTTATCCTTTTACAAATAGCCATAAGCCCTCTCAAAGATTTTAGCAGGTGACAATACTAGTTGTTAAACCTGACTCTTGAAAGTTACAAGGGAAATTGAGGAAGCACTATCATCACTAGACCCCCTGCCTGTGACTATGTCGGGCATCTTATGTGATGTCATTTAATGCCCCCTCTGCTGACCTAGACGTCTTCCCAGCAGTATCATTTGATGGGCATCCCTCTGAAAAATGTAAGGAATATAAGAATGTGTTATCCATTAGCACATTTTTAAAAATACAGAGCTCCTACCTAGTTGCTTCTTCCTCTATTTGTGTGCATGTTTGATTATGATAAGACTTAATTTACTGTGTTTAAGAGAGAAGAAGCCAGTGATTCCCTAAGAGCAATGTCTTTGAGTATATTAGATACAAGCATGGTTCCTCATCTTTATTACAACTGGAGTAACAGCATCAGAACAAATGAAGTATTTAAATGCAAATGCATAAATTACTCCTTGTAATTTCTACGTATTGGGAGAATGTCCTTCCACTTCTTCCATGGGGACACCAAACTTACTTTGCACATGTACCTATGAAGTAGAAACTGATCATATATCCTTGAAAATACTTTCATTTTTTTAATGAAGAGTTGGTCTCGATTAATGTTCACTAAGCGTATCTTTTCCCAAGGAGTGCTTACTGGTTTGTCGTAACTTCTTTTTCTTGAATAAGTAGAAAATGGAAGCCTCTGCTAAGCTGTTTTTCCTTTGTAGCGTGGAGACCATCAATGATGGAAACTTCCATATTGTGGAGCTGCTCGCCCTGGACCAGAGTCTCTCCCTCTCCGTCGATGGAGGCAGTCCTAAAGTCATCACCAACCTGTCCAAGCAGTCGACTCTGAATTTTGACTCCCCACTCTATGTAGGAGGTAAGTTCTCTTCTAATATCCATTTCCCAAAGCCTCTGATTCTCCTTACAGATGTATTCTGAAGCTGTTGATGCCTGGTGTCACAGCTTGGGCCAGCAGTAACCAATCATTGAAAGATGGACAACAGGGACAGAAGAGAGAGCACCTTGGATGGGTGCTAAGAGAGCAATTTGTAGTCCTGGCTCTGATTCCATGGAGCTCACAGCTGAAGGAGATGATGGAAGACCTGACTCCAGCACAAAAAGCTCCTGCCGCTAGTCCTCTCTCGAAAGTGTGACATTTTGTCCTTTTGACCTTCCTCTACAAAGCAACCCAGTTTCAAGGTCAAACAGACATAGATTCAATCCTGAACCCATGAAACTTTCAAAGCCAAGACACCTAATCCTGTACCTGTAAAATAGGACCGTGGACCTTTAGAATCACCTGAGCTCTCCCCCTTCCATTCAGACCCCCACCCCCCGTCCTAGGAGCCACAATCTCAGGGTGAGGAGACAATGAGGCCTGAGAATCTTCTGAACATGCAGCTCTGATGGGCCTGATGTCTGATGAGCTTGTGTCACAAACTGTTGCTCTAGTCCAGCCCTTCACATTTCAGATGAGAAAATAAAGCCAAGAGAGGGGCTGGCTCAAGTGCACACAGATCAAAAACAAACTTATGAACTCTAGCCTATGGTTTGTGCAGCTAGCTTTGTGGCTTGGGTGCCTTCTAGAACTCAAACGTAGCTCCTGGGAATGGGAAAAGAGATCTGTCATGAGTCGAAACCCAGAGAGTGTGAGGCCCTTGGTCTTTATCAACAACAAACCAACCCCCTGGAGAGTGACAGGGGGTCTCCCAGCCTGAACCCCCTTAACCTGTGGTTCAGACCTAGAAAAGCTGGAAAGCCGGATTGGGGAGTGCAAGCTGCACAGAGGCCTCCACACCCACCCTTCCCTCAACGACCTGGTGCTGGCCTCATGTAGGATGGCATCCAGGAACTATTTCAGGGTCTGGCCTAGGCCATGGAAAGATTCCTCAGCCCTGCCAAATGAGGGCTCCCAGATGAGTGGCATGAATATATACAAAGACTGCAAGTTTTGTTTCTGGAGGAATTTTTTATATTCTCAATTTCTTGGAAACATGAAGGCTTCACTCTCAATTAGCAAGAAAAAAAAATGAAGGGAATGAAGTGCCGACCTGACAGGAAGCAGGGGTGAGCTTTTCAAGCAGCGGATCCACGAGGGAACTGGGGACATTGCAGGGGTGTGCGGAGCTGTTGGTAGCTTAGAATCTGGCAGGTGAGGGGTGATGGTCACTGTGGACTCCAGCTCTCACCCTCAAAACACAATGAACTGAACCCTAACGGTAAACTGAGGGAGTTCATTGGTCTAATACTTACCCATGCTTACTGGGAGATGCCAAGCAGCTGCCTGAGATCGGGCGCTGGGCCTCATCTCTGAGGGACAGGATTGTGCTGTGGGAGCTGGAGGCTTATGGGGGGTATGTCAAGGTTGGCATGCAGGGAGGGAGAGAGATTCCATCCCTACTCCTAATCTTGCCTTTAGGGTCAGTAGCTCTACTTTTAGGTGCTGTGTGTATATATTTTGTGTAAGGTTTTGCTTGCAGCAAATTTAAAATTAAACACTGACCACCAACAAACTAGGTGTGTGTTCTAGTTGTACATGAGAATCGCCTGGAGCATCCTCCAAAAAACAAAACCCCCACCCCTCCCTCCCCTGCCCCACCTGGATACTCTGACTGAGGAGGTTCTGGGTGAGGCCCACACATCAGTATTTCTTCAGAGCCCCATGTGATTCCAGCTTGCACAGTAGCGGCCCGCGCACGGATGCTCTTCAGCACTGATTCTCATAGAAAAGTGTCCCAACTTCCGCCCTGCAGGGGTCGAAGAGGGACAGGGTGTACAGGGCTGAGGACCCCCAAAACCCCTGACCACTGACCTGGTCTCCTCCGCAGGTATGCCCGGGAAGAACACAGTGGCTGCAGCTCTGCGCCAGGCGCCCGGGCAGAACGGCACCAGCTTCCACGGCTGCATCCGCAACCTGTACATCGACAGCGAGCTGCAGGACTTCCGGAAGGTGCCCATGCAAGCCGGCATCCTGCCTGGCTGTGAGCCCTGCCACAAGAGGGTGTGTGCCCACGGCACGTGCCAGCCCAGCAGCCCAGCGGGCTTCACCTGCGAGTGCCAGGAGGGGTGGACCGGGCCCCTCTGCGACCAGAGGACCAACGACCCCTGTCTTGGAAACAAGTGAGTTTGGGCTGCTTGGTCCTTAAACACATAGACCCCAGCCTTCAAAGCAAGACCTAAGAAAGGAAGGGAGGGAAGGAGAGCAAGAGAGAAAGGGACGGAGAGAGGTTGAGAGAGAGGGAAGAGTAAAAAGCCCGCCTCCTCTTCCTCCATCATCCGCCCTCCATTCTTTACATTCCTGTCTTTAAGATGAAATGTGTTCGTCTCATTGAAGCAACATTGGTTTACAAGAATCTATATGATTTCAGGGTTTAGGATCACACCTGTTCAGGTGTACGTCACCGCACCCAGCCTGCCACCAGGGCACCCATAAATCCTCCACCTTAGTCCACTGGGTGCCCTCCCCACCTTTGCTCTCCACCCTACCCCTTCCCCTCTGGATGCCTGAATTCCTCAGTCTGATGTCCAGGGCTGGTTATTGGTTTGGCTTAGTCTGGCCTTTGTTTTGTTTCTCTGTATGCCACGTATAATGGAACCTTCCCGTATTTGTCTTTCTCCTTCTGACTTAATTTGCTTAGCATTAGCTCCTCCAGTTCCACCCATGTTGTTGCCATTGGCAAGAGTTCCTTGAAATATTTTTTATTGCTGAGTAGTATTCCACTGTGTCTATGCACCACATCTTCTTTGGCCCGAGGCATCTCCATCCTGGTGTTCCTCCTCTTCACTGTAGGTGCGTGCACGGCACCTGCTTGCCCATCAATGCGTTCTCCTACAGCTGTAAGTGCCTGGAGGGCCACGGGGGCGTCCTCTGTGATGAAGAGGAGGATCTGTTTAACCCCTGCCAGACGATCAAGTGTAAGCATGGGAAATGCAGGCTCTCGGGCCTTGGCCAGCCCTACTGTGAATGCAGCAGTGGATACACAGGGGACAGCTGTGACCGAGGTATGTGACCCCATTGGCACCTCTCTTTCATGGCAAAGCAAGAAGGGACCCCATCTTTGAAAACAGACAGACAGAGCATGGACAGAGAGACAGAGAGCTGGAGTAATGAATGTCAGGAATGCCAGATCTTTGCGCTACTTGCAGTCACTGCTGTTGAATCATTTCCCACAAAGGCACCAGAGATGAAATACCTTAACCCCCCACTGCAGGATTGCATAAAGCCTTTGGATGCTTCTCACAACTTGATTGGCTGTGAAACTATTCCTTTTTATGTCATGTAGAAGCCCATCTACTTGGCTCATTTCTTAACTCTCCCCACTGTTTTTGTGCATAAAGAGGTTGATTCATCTGCCCCAGAGACGAGGGAGTTTATCATTCTAATCTAGTTTTTAGGACAAAATTCCCTTTGACCTGAGCATCCACTGATTGCTCGCAATAAATTATGCAGGTGAGAGGGTCAGGCCGGCTGATGTTCTAGCCCACCTTTCTCTTTTGTCTGCAAGCTCAGAGCATGCCTGGCCTCCAGCTTGTGTGGATTTTGTTGTGTGTATCAGAGGGAGGTGACAAGAGGAACGTGCCCGGGAGGCTTTCTGCAGATGTCTCTTTTTGAACTAGTTTGTACTAGGGTAATTTATGAAGTTAGTGGAATGTTACTTGTATTAAGTAACAGATTGAATGATATTAAACTCCAGGTCTAATAAATTAAATTGCAGACTCTCTGAAACTGCTCCCCGTGGTAAACAAAACCAGCTGTTCATTGTGTAAAAACAAGAGATGTGTATTTTTTGCAATAAAGGAAAAGATTTAGGAATCCAATTTTCTTGTCAGTCCAATAGCATAGTATTTATAGTCCACATAGATCGCATTCACTTTGCCGAAAAGCTAGACCAAAAAAGGAGTATTTTTCAGAGAACAGCAGGCTATGCCCTGTAATCTAAGCATAACCCTGAACGTGTTGAGTCATAGGGCAAGCAGATAGCTTCTAGGGTCAGAATACAACAGGGAAAACCTCAGAGGAATAGGGAAGTTTCCAGAGATAAGGGCAACAAACTCCAAAGGGGACTAATCAAACTCCAGACTAGGGGGGCAAAAGGACATTTCCCAACAAGGACGATAAAGAAAATGGACTCTAAAATATGGGCTGAGATGCAAGATGTCATTCTGGGCCAGAGGCATTAAGGCAGAGTGAGTGAGAGCACCGGGAACTAACCAATCACAAAGAGATCGGGGCTCTAGAATAATCAGACAAAGAAGAGAATTTCCCAGGCACAGCTCCAGCTTCCTTGCCCCTCCGGGCCTGCTTCCACCTCCACCGGCCTGGGCGTCACACTTTGTTTCTGTTCCTTTCTCCTTAATAAACTTTTTCTTATATCTATTTCTCTAAACAAATCTGCGTCTTTGCGCTCGCTTGCCTGAGCGTCAGCGAAGTTCTTGCTGGGGCTTCTAGACCCCAACTGTGGTGGTCTAGTGCCTGGGACTCAGCCCCACAGTCTGTGGTCCGGTCCTGGCTGGGAGACCAGGCCCCAAAACCTGAAATGACCGCCTGCAGGGCTAGCCACAGCTCCCAACAGAAGCGCCAGCGACACCTCCAGAAGTTGAGTTGCCAGTTCACTCTGCATGACTTCCAGCCCCTGCGCTTAAGGTGCCTGTGCTTTCTGTTCTTTTCTAGAAATCTCCTGTCAAGGGGAGCGGATAAGAGATTATTACCAAAAGCAGCAGGGCTACGCGGCTTGCCAGACCACCAAGAAGGTGTCCCGCTTGGAGTGCAGGGGCGGGTGCACGGGAGGGCAGTGCTGCGGGCCGCTGCGCAGCAAGCGGAGGAAATACTCCTTCGAGTGCACAGACGGCTCCTCCTTCGTGGACGAGGTCGAGAAGGTGGTGAAATGTGGCTGCACCAAGTGCGCCTCCTAAATCCCCCCACCCCCGACCCTGGGCAGCTTTGGGCTTTGGAAAATGTACACTTCTCGACCCTGTTGGACGAATGAGTGATTCCTAGTGGAAATATTTGAAATATATTGTAAAATACAGAACAGACTTATTTTTATTATGAGAATAGAGAATTTTTTCTGCATTTGGAAAAAAAAAAAAGAGAGAAATGCTTGAACTCAAGTTCTCCTCCGCTGGAGAAGGATCAAGAAAGAGCTGGAGGTATCAGGACTAGATGACAACCAGTCAATTCGGATTCATCTTCGTCTAACATGCTGAAGACAGCAGAAGCTCGTCGCCAGAGAGAGAGACAGCCACTGTGCCTGAGGGGGATTGCACGCTCAGGTTTGTGAGTTCACCAGGACGGATGGAGCGCAGGTGTGTGAATGAGGGTAAAAGCAGAGGACTGGAACCCCAGAATTCCCACACAGAGCCAGTGGGTCGGGGAGTATTTGGTGCAAAAGAGAAAGTGTTCTGGGGTCTTCGATTCCCAGGGCAGAGATGGGCGAGCTGAAATCAATGTTATCTTCTTTACAAATGTCAGCATGTGAGCAGAAGCACACAAAAGTGTTCATCTACCGTTTTCCAGTATTAATTTTTTTTGTAATATAAATGATAAAGGAGATGATAAAGAACCAATAGATTATTGATAAATAAATTAGTAATAATATGAATTTTTGTTTCTATGAGTTCTAAACAACCCTATACAGTATTCAGTTTCAATGAGAAATATTTATTGTATCAAAGTACATTGTACTTAACATTTTAGGCCATCTTTTTGCTGTTTCTTGATGCTTTAATATATATTAATTTATAATTGTCCTGATATTTTTGTACATTTTTCAAACTTAAAAATCAGGATTTTTTTTTGGGGGGGTGGTTGGCAATAGTACTAACATAGGATATTATCTCGGGATAAATATGTATTGGTCTGTTTGTTTACCTTGACATCTGACCATTGGTGTCACTGACCTACTGGCTTCATCCGGGACTGGGGCAGACAGGAGATAGTCTGTGCTCGTCCTTGTACAGTAAGAAGTGGCCCCTCTGCCACTTTTCTCACAACAGAAATGGTGTGCAGCATCAACACTAGAGAGTAGATCTTTACAAATTAATATTTCCTTGATGTTTTTTGCCCTTTTATTGGGGATGGGTTGGGAAGAGAAAAGGCTGTAATGTCAAGAACTGTGATTTTTTTTTTCCCAAACAATAAAGCGCCTTTATTACCTTAATGTTCCTATGTTAACATGTTTGCTGCTAAATTACAATGTAGAATTAATAATGATTTATAGTGGACTGTGCTTTTCCCTCATTCAAATCCCAGGGTACCCTGTAAAGATGGAAATGTGTCTTTCCAAAAGCTTTTTTACAAAGGAAATTAGATGTACATGTCTAATTCAGTGTGCTTTGTCTTTCTCCAGACTAATATCAGTTACACTACTGATGTTTGTAAATTAAACAGATATTTACTTCATTAACAGCTTGGTGGTTTTCTTAGAAATGGTGCAATATTTAGGGCCATCTCCTTAAGAATCTGTTCATCAGAGTGAGACAAAGAGCTGGGGGGGAAAAAATCTCTACTTGTTTGTTACCACTGTTTTGAGATGAGCTTATTGTCCTAACTGGGAAGTTTGCAATGACCACATGAAAGAGAGAGCTAAAAGAACACCATCTTTGCTGGGGAAAAAGTGCACATTCAATTAATTTCTTACCAAAAAAATTATAAGGTAGAGTCTAACTGAACAATAAATGGTGTTTTGGGTTTTGTTCTTCTTTTCCCCTCAATTGGAACCAGCTGGAAAACAATAAGTGTCTTTGTCACAGGCAGTCTCATGCAGGAGTTAAGTAACGTTGAAATTCACCACAAGGAACATGGCTGGATAGAATATTAATGCTCACTGCCATGCTAACATTTCTTCATTTCCCTGGAAGAAAATCATTCATAGACACACGCCTTCTGTCTCACGTACACAAATGCCAATCATTTATTCATCAAAAATCATTTATTTATTTATTCAAAAAAATAGCTATTTTTTTTTTAATTTTGCCTGTTCTTACACTTCTCAAACCATCCTTAGAAGGCTTGATAGAAGCCTGGCATGATAGGAGGCTTCTGTCAGTCAGTTTATATGTACATAACTCTGTGATTGTGGGAATAAACTTCACCCCTCAACACATGCACATAGCTCTCTCACCCTCCTCCACCAAACCTCCAGAGCCAACACCCTCTCACACATCCTCTCTCAACCTCTCCTCCCATCTAGTAGCCACTCTCTTTTTCATAGTCTGAGTGTAAAATATCTACATTTTATTTTTTTTTCTACATTTTAATTATGCAAATATTATGTAATCATTGTAAAATATTTATCTGTTCTCATTGGTTGCCCCCCGCCCCAAGGGTTGTGGATCATTCATTAAGCAAAGAAACACCTGTGTAGATGGTATGATTTAGGTATGTTTATAGGTATGTGTTACCTTAATAGCCACTGTTCTTTTGCGGGTTTATTCATGTCAGGTATCATGCCAAGGCCCCTGTATGAAATATCCCATTTGTCTCCCACTACAAACCTCTGTGATTGTGTGTCCTATTTTATACAGGCAGGGATAGCTCAAAAACAGAGGAGCTTAAATGCACATAAGGCATTTCAGACCACGGTATCTGTGTACAAAGTATAAAGGCAGCAGCTCAATAACTACCAATGTCTAATAGGGTACGTTAAAGCTTGGATTCTTATGTCCACAATAAAATTATTCTCACCACTGATCATCTGGATTTAAGTAACTTAGATTAGACACGTTTGTTTTGTTTTTTTAAAGGAAAAAAAAAAAGTGAAGTCTTGTAGTTCACAGCCTGTGTTTTTTCTCCTTCCTGCTTATAAAGGCACAAAACAGAATTATGTTTGCCTGCCTAGGATTTGGGCTGAGTTAGCAAGTCTCTTAAGAGATTGTTTACTTCGTGATGGGACTACTTTCTGCATATGAGTTCTTCTTTGAGAAAATCCAATAACGAAATAATTACTAGCAAATGAGACAAATGAAGGGAAATTATTCATGTTATAAAAGACTCCTTACTTATAAAGCCTTGTCTATAGGATTGCTTTAAATAGAAAACTAACAATTCTTGAGCAATTTCCAACAAAATTCAATTTGTTAGAACTAAAAACATTTGCGTGTTTCAGAATCAGAGCCACTACACTAATAATATACATTTCTTGCCTGAAATGATAAATGATTAACCATCTCTGATGTGTTTACATTGTCACTTGGGTAAGGCATCATTAAGATTTGACATGTGTTCACTTTAAGATGTATCCATTAAGTAAAAACAGTCTCAATCTTTGGAACTAGTTTTGACTATGCATTTCTTGAAATTATTTCTAAGCAATAATAGATTAACCCTGGCTTTAGAATTGCTCTGAGCTTCCTCTTTTTTGGATGACTTGATTTATCAGCAGCATCCTTTCTGTAAAAGTGACCAAAAGTGGGCCTCTCTGGTGGCTCAAGGGGTTAAGCACTGCACTATGAGGCAATCCACAGCCTCTGCAGCACGAATTTGATCCCCGGCCGGCCAGGGAGCTACCCACATGGCGAGGCAGACCTTGCCTGTCTTGCCTGCTGCTCCCCTCAGCAGTGTATTTCAGTCAGTCTGCCTGTTCTGTTCCCTACTCTGTCTCTGGGGAGTCCTCTCACCCCATGCATCTCTGGCCTGTACCCCAGCTCTTGTATGCATAAATAATTTTTTTTAAAAAAGTGATTAAAAGCCTACTGTCAGAGAATCAGGACAGATTTTGAGAATCATAGTATCATTGGCCTCATAGAATGACCACTATTTCAAAAGAATGGTTGGTGGCAGTATGCAAGCTATAAAAATTATATAAAGCTTTCTAGAAAGAGTATAAAACTATATAAAATACAGAAGTTATTTTCATTCTTAATTCTTTATACTCGGACATGATTGAACAGTAAATTTTTATTGCCTATTGCCTATTATGTGCAAGAAATTGTGCTAAACCTTTGCTACATCTTTCAGATGGCACAGATCTTGGTTCTGCTGAGTTAGAGCAGCTACTCTGTGCAGTTGGAGATAAGGTGACAGTGGGTAATAGATAGAATTCAAAATGAACAAACATACATGACTTCAGATGTGATAAACACCCTGAAAAAAATGATGGGATGCTAGAAAAAAGCACAGCAAAGGGATTGAATCACATTCATCCTGGAAGACGAGGGAATGACTGAGGAGGTGACATTTAAGCTCATGAAGGATAATGTAGAATCTAGAACGAAGATAGAAGGAGAGATGGTGGGGGACAGGTTTGAGGGGAAGTCCATGCAGGAAGAGCAGCTTGGGGGTCAGACAAAGGGAGGATGTTGCAGTGGCCAGCAGGAGACACTTACTTCACATGCATGATAAAGCATAACCTTTCTCTGCCTTCCCGAACTCACTTCATATCCATATTTTTCTTCTGAACATGTGTTTGTCATGAGCTTTTACATGGCAACAAACTGTATTTTTTTTTATTTTTTTTTTTTTTTTCATTTTATTTTTTTTTTTTTATTTTTTTTTTTAAATATTAAATTTTATTTTTATATTCCCCCATACAATTGCAAACGCCCCATTCTGACCCCAATCCTTCCCCTCCCGCCCCCCACCCCCCAAAAAGTGTCTCTGGTTCATAGTTTTTTGTTGATTTTGATTTTCACTTTCTTATATTCATTTTCCTGGTCCCTTATTTAAGTTTTCTAGATTCCTGCTATGAGTGAGACCATCCGGTATTTTTCTTTTCCTTTTTGGCTTATTTCACTGAGCATGATCCCTTCCAGTGCCATCCATGTTGCTGCAAATTGCATGTGTTTATCTTTTTTGAATGCTGAGTAATATTCCATGGTATATATGTACCACATCTTCTTGATCCAGTCATCTATTTTTGGGCATTTGGGCTGTTTCCAAAGCTTAGCTATTGTAAACAGTGCTGCTATAAACATAGGGGTGCAGGTGCTCTTTGGAATTGATGTTTCTGTGTCCTTTGGGTAAATACCTAGGAGTGGAATTGCTGGATCATATGGAAGCTCTATGTTTAGTAGGTCCAGAAATCTCCACACAGCTCTCCATAGTGGTTGGACCAGTTTGCACTCCCACCAACAGTGCACAAGAGTTCCTTTTTCTCCACATCCTCGCCAACATTTGTTGTTGCTAGTTTTTTTAATGTGCCATTCTCACTGGTGTGAGATGGTATCTCATGGTAGTTTTGATTTGCATTTCCCTGATTACAAGTGATGTTGAACATTTTTTCATATGTCTGTTGGCCATTTGCATTTCCTCTTCAGAGAAGTTTCTTTTTAGCTCTTCTGCCCATTTTTTGACTGGATTATTTTCTTTGTTGTTGCTGAGTCTCATCAGCTCTTTGCAGATTTTTGTGATCAGTCCTTTATCATTAGTGTTGGGTGCAAAAATGTTCTCCCAGTTGGTGGGGTTTCTCTTTGTTTTTGTTATTGTCTCTTTTGCTGTGCAGAAGCTCTTTAATTTGATGTAGTCCCAGCTGTTTATCTTTCTCTTCACTATCACTGCTTTGGGTGATGTGTCTGTAAAGATGTCTTTGATGTGCAAATCCCGTAGTGTTTCGCCTATATTTCCTTCTATGTATTTTATGGTTTCAGGTCTTATGTCTAGTTCTTTAATCCATTTTGAGTTGATTTTTGTGTATGGTGTGAGGTAGTGGTCAAGCTTCATTCTTTTGCATGTAGCGACCCAGTTTTCCCAGCACCATTTATTGAACAAACTTTCTTTGCTCCAATGCATAGTCTTCGCTCCTTTGTCAAAGATTAGTTGACCATAAATCTGTGGGTTTATTTCTGGATTTTCTATTCGATTCCATTGGTCTGTATGTCTGTTCTTGTTCCAATACCATGCAGTTTTGATGATTATGGCTTTGTAGTATAGTTTGAAGTCTGGGAGTGTGATGCCTCCATTTCCTTCTTTTTTTTTCAGTAGAGCTTTGGCTATTCGGGGTTTTGGTGATTCCATATGAATTTCATCAATAATTGTTCTATTTCTTTGAAGAATGCCATTGAGATTTTGATTGGAATAGCATTGAATCTATATATTGCTTTTGGTAGGATGGCCATTTTAATAATGTTTATTCTTCCAATCCATGAGCAGGGGATGTCTTTCCATTTCTTTGTGTCTTCTTCTATTTCTTTTAACAGTGTTTTATAGTTTTCTTTGTATAGGTCCTTTACCTCTTTTGTTAGATTTATTCCCAAATATTTGATTTTTTTTGTTTCGATAATAAAAGGGGTGGTTTTTTGATTTCTTCTTCTTCAGATTTATTGTTTGTGTATAGGAAGGCTACTGACTTTGCGTGTTGATTTTGTATCCTGCCACTTTACTGAATTGATTGATGAGTTGAATTAGTTTTTCTGTGGAGATTTTGGGGTTCTCTATGTATATTATCATATCATCTGCAAATAGTGATAGTTTGACTTCTTCTTTTCCTATTTGGATTCCTTGGATGTCTTTCTCTTGTCTTATTGCTCTGGCTAGGACTTCCAGTATTATATTGAAAAGCAGTGGTGAGAGTGGACATCCTTGTCTTGTTCCAGATCTTAATGGAATTGCTTTCAGCTTTTCACCATTGAGAATGATACTGGCTGTTGGCTTGTCATAGATGGCCTTTATGATGTTGAGGTATGTTCCTTGTATCCCAAGAATTTCAAGGGCTTTTATCATGAATGGGTGTTGCACTTTGTCGAAAGCTTTCTCAGCATCTATTGATATTATCATATGGTTTTTATATTTCTTTTTGTTGATGTGTTGGATAACGTTGATTGATTTTCGGATGTTAAACCATCCTTGTGCCCCTGGAATGAATCCAACTTGGTCGTGGTGAATTATCTTATGGATACATTGTTGGATTCTGATAGCTAAAATTTTATTGAGGATTTTTGCATCAGTGTTCATTAGGGAGATTGGCCTATA